AAGCCTAATGTGCACCATTGTCAAGAGTTTCCAAAATTGACGGTTAAATGTTTTGCTTTTTTATATTTCTATTATTTTATATTTTCTATCATGTCTCATGGATTGACATGAAAGCTCCAAAACTGAGTCAATAATTAGTGATAAGAATACTAAAGGGTTTTGTCAAAAATTAGTGCAGATTTATGAATTTTTGTTAGAACTTGTAAAAGTATTTTTTTCTTATCTCTCTATACTTCATATTCGCTAATAAATTGGATCTTCTTGATAACATAAACATCGATTTTATAAATACAAAGATAGTATACTTCAATCACTTAGATCTCTTTACTATCCCCTCCGTTCCAAATTGTAAGACATTTTGGTTTTTCTACATATATAGTTTTTGCTATGCACTTAGATATACACTATATCTACATAATAAAAGTAATGTACCTATAAAAATCAAAACATCTTATAATTTGGAAGAGAGGGAGTACATGAGAAATGACAAAAAAACACCACGGGAAGTACTCTATCCATTTTTAAATGTAAGCACAATTAACTTTGGTGCGTCTAAAATAAACTTTGACTTGATGCCAGTTGTAGGAAACAGTTTTCAAATAATCCAGTTGTACCGCTATAATTTTAGAAAATACCTACAAACGTTCCAATGAATAGAGTTTGAATCTAATATGTGTCTGTACCTATATACCTTATATTTTCAAATCTCAATACAAGTTTTGCCTCAAGATGCAAGCTATCTATATCATTTTTCACTATCTACATCATCTCCCACTAATGCACGTTAGCCCACTAACTTTCAATGTATTAATACATACCATTTACATCACCTCCGCTGTGGAGCCGATTGCAAACTGTGAGGTATGTGGTGTGGAATCTGAATCCATTAGGCACACGCTGTTGGAGTGTTCGATCGCAAGGGTGTTCCGGGAGGCGACAAAAACCAATAAGGGTGTGAAGCTCCCGACCTTGCATCAAGACAACTGGGCTCATGACCTTGCAGAGGGAAGAGCAGTTACCAGAGACGGGCAGCAGATCATCATGATCGGAATGTATGCGCTCTGGACACTGCGTAATAAGAGAAGACATGGTGAGATACTGCCGCCAGTTCGGGTGGCAGTGCAGTGGGTGGCGGACTTGGCCTATGATCTTGGACAAGCAACCCGTCACCAAACGCCACCTCGACCAGCAACTCAGCAACCGAGGTGGGAATGTCCTCAAGATGGTTGGCTCAAATGCAACACAGACGGGGCCTTCTATGACCGATCAGGGCAGGGAGCTACCGGGGCAGTCCTCCGGGACAGCTCTGGTAATTTCATCAGAGGCAGTGCAAAGTGGTATGATCACTGTCTTGATGCCCTCATTGTCGAAGCTCTAGCCTGCTGGGATGGGCTGAGACTAGCGATTCAATTTGGAGCTCGGAGAGTCTGGCTAGAATCCGACTGCCAACAACTCATTCAGCTATGGCAGGCGGGCTCTAATCAGAGATCAACCATTGCGACGGTTCTGCAGGAGATTCGGGAGCTAAGCCTAGAGTTTCTTGAGTTTAATTTTTCCTTTATACCCAAGAATTGTAATAAGGTAGCACACTCGTTAGCTAAGAGGGTCACGGCTGATACACGAGCTGGTTTGTGGACTTATGCTCCAGCTTATGTATTAGACGCACTGACTGCAGATTGTAATTTTGCTCCCAATGAATGAATGAATCTCCAAGTCTCAAAAAAAAAAATCTACATCACCTCCACTAAGTGCAATTACTATGTTCAATATATGAGAAATATACAAAGCATCCATATTTTTTTATTTGTTTCGCTGTTTCACCGTCTTATAATTCAATCTATTTTTTTAGTTTTATATTAAATTCTTTTATCGTCACACCCAATTTTGATAAGAATCGATGTAAGAACGTGTAAGTCTAACTCATACGTATAACCATTTTATTTTTTTAAAAAGTCTCCTAACAACGCGAGTATGCTTAGTATGCTTTATAGTATAAAGAAATAGCAGAGGAAGTACCAGATATCGTCCTGCACGCCAAGCAGCAGGCCCATCTCCTCTCTCGCGGCCGACGAGGCTACACCGAGCGCGCTGCCCACCAGCGTGGTAGCCATGCCCAACGCGGTCTCCGCCATGGCAGCACCCTCCCTGGTTCTTCTTCTTCCCTGCTCCTCCCACTTGTCTGTGCGCTACATGTGCTTTCAAGGCAGTATGTACTCTCGAGTTCAACTGTCTACTAATGTAATTATAGCAGCAGGGCAGAATGGATCTGCATTGGATGCTCCCGTCTCGGCGTCTACTTTGCTCTCCCTTAAGGCAAGCAAAGGGAGCACCAGCAGCGTCCTGCTTTGCCCTGAAGTGGATAAACATTCGGCTGATCGGCTGGGAGCCGCTGGCTGGGCTGGCTGGCCAGCCCTCTCAGTAAAATACTGTTCATGCGAACCAGTCAGCAGTATTTTTCTCTCACGTAAATGAACCAGCAACGATACGAACCAGCCAGCCGAATAGGCTGATTGTTGGAGTCTCCTGACCATGGCTGCGCAAGGAGCTGAAGCTACACATTGATTCCTTGTTGCTGATCTCAAGGCATCCTTGGTGTCTGGTCTTGGGCTAGCCAGATGCCGTCCTTTTGTAGCTCCCCCTCCTCCCCCCCTCTGTGGATCAGGAAAAGTTGAATCCCAGAGCATGTAGTATGGCACAATAACAGTATGAGATGACAACCTTTTGAAAAAATGTATTCGAAAACTGAAAGCAGCTCAATAGCTGATGGAAACACATTCTATTCACGGTAGTATTTGTACGGCACAGTTGTAGTGGTTAGGACGAAACTGTGTTATGTATCTTAGCTATATATTTTCTTTTATTCTTGAATCTTAAAAAAAGCTATATATATGTTGATTTGTTCACATGGTTGCTTGTTAGCACCATCAAATAATACTAGTTTGGTGAGCTTGGTAAACCTCCCTGCCCCTGCACACTTATTCGGGCTTTTGATCTTGTCGAATTTTTAGATGAGAAGAGTTGCGAAAAGAAGAATCATACAATGATTCCCATATGAGGAAACTATTGGGTGCAAACCACCCTTATACGGTGGAAACGTAAAAACTCCTAAAAATACATATCAAGGAGTTTAAGAAAATTTTGAAATGATACTCATGCATGTTACGTCTATAGATGTAAATGTAAATGTAATTGTTACAAAAGTTAAGATGCAGAATCAATTTATTCAAATTCATCATATATACATACAAAATAATAAAAACCATGTATGTACATTTGCACTAGAGGAAGACAGTATTCCATCCGGGCCACAGAAGCTTGCAGTCCTAGTAGTGGGCCGGGTAGCCAAGCCCACAAACTGCTCTGTTGTTCTGTCGTCAACCTGTCACAGGTCAAGGCCCGCATACATAGCCGCTCCAGACCAGACGGCGAGGAGTCGACGAGCAGAGCAGGGGGCAAGCTTGAATTGCTCCTACAGATCTCTCTACCATCCGGGCCGCCGAAGATTGGCTTACAAGAAGTAATCGGTTTGTTTCAATGTCCACGGGGAAGACGAACAAGCAAGGCGGCAGTACCAGAGCTGGATGCCAGTACAGAAGAAACTAAGAGATCACACATCTCAATAGGAGTATATTTTCTTTCTGTCAGACAGAATCCCTTCCGCGTGGTCAAGCGAAAGAACCGACAGCAGAATCAACGATTCCACGAACCGAGATCCCTCTTCTCTTCTCTAGCATCTAGACGTGCGCTAGTGTCACAAGCAGAGCAGGCAGCCCAAGAATACGGCGCTGGTAGATAAAAGAAGGCCCAGCATTCAACATCAACTCATTGTCAGTGCTGCCCGGTGGCCACACGAGTCTCCTTCCTTGAGCTGCTTTTTCCTTCTTCTTTTTATGGTTCCTCCAACCACTGGAATTAGCCGAGAATATACACGCACTTGCAGGAAGGGGCGGGCATCGCATCTTGGATTTGGATCCGATCATCCGCTCCTCCTCCTGTCAGTCGGTCTGGCATGCAGCGCAGAAATCATGCTACACTGATTGTACCGGACCTATACTATACGCAAGAGTTGTCAATCAGCAATTCAGTATTGCTCAGCTTGATACCGACTCGAGACTGATTTGTGTACAATTTATAATTGTTTCTATAGTCAGACAAGTACAAAAATTTGATATGTTATGACACAAAGACATGATATGTTATGACACAAAGACAAATATAAATTACAAAAATAACAATTTTACTTGAATTGGTTAGTGCATGGTACAAGAGTGTTGTCTAAGATCGTCTTAAAATTCAGACAACTGGAGTACGAGAGGCAACCAAAATTAAATGTCCGAGGTGAGGAACGAGCGCGACTAACGCTCGTCGGCACGGAGCAAGCCACATGCTCCTGCCACTCGCGCTGCGCGTGGTCCTCGGCGGTTCCTATCGTTGAGTCACCATTAGATGTTCGCTTTTCGATGCAACACGGTTATTTGACTTTTCGATGCAACACGGTTGTTTGAGACAGTAGTCGGCCCAGCTATATATCGAGTTAATTACTCAAAATCTTTCGAGAGAAAATAAATGTATACTTCCACATGCTTCCATGGAATTAGGAAGCTATAATTTGGATGCCCCTGAAATACAACAATGTTCATCTTGCACACACAAAAGATACTGGCCACACAAAAATGATTCTTGAAAAACGCTTTGCATTGTGCTTCGGTGGGGAACATACAAACTTCGCTTTCTACTTTTTATCAACTACTCAATCCATTCCAAATTGTAAGACGTTTGACTTTTTTGACACCAAGTTTGACCACTCGTCTTATTCAAAAATTTGTGTAAAATATCACTTCTTTCATCGTGGTTTGGTTTATTAATAAAAATTCTTCAAGAATGACTTAAATTTGACTATATTTACACAAATTTTTTGAATAAGACGAGTGGTCAAACTTAGAGCCAAAAAAGTCAAACGTCTTACAATTTGGGATGGAGGGGGTATTATACTTTGCACAATGGCCCTCCACATGAGTACATGTTTTGTCTACTTTGGTACTATGAGAGAAGGTACCCCTCAGTTCCAAATTATTATAAATCATTATAATTTTTTTGGAGAGTTAAAGCATCTCGAGTTCGAACAAAATTATAGAAAGAATTATAAAGATTTATGACATCAAAGATATACTATGAAAATATAATTAATGAAGAATCTAATGTTATTTATTTGGTATCATGAATGTTATTATTTTATTATATGAATTTGGTTAAAGGTGAGATGCTTTGACTCTCCAAAATAATGTTAGAATGACTGATAATTTAGGATGGAGGGAGTACAAGACATCTGTGTTGATGGATAAAAATTGGAACTATATATATTGTTGCCACGTAACTGGTGGAAAAACTCTCTTTCAGTGGCCACAGGCCCACCACCAATATTTGCTCCATCCAAGCATTACCCTTCGGCTATTTGTTAAATCAAATTCCAATATTTTTCTTCTTTCGATTCCCTAACATTTCTATCAAAGTCTAGGGGATAATTGCTGATATTATATTTTATGTAAACATTATTTTGAATTTTTGCACAACTTTTTGTATAATTACCCAAGAACTTTGAAGCCGCCGGAGAAAAAAGTAGCACAATACAAAACATACACACTCATATACATGTATGCTCACTTAAATTGACCTTATACTTAAGCACCTCGAAAAAAGGGCATAGTCATATATTGATTATCACTGGAATGCGAGTAATACCGAGCCAGAGGCTTAAACATGTTCTGGCTTATATTGATAAAGAAAAACTAAGCAAACAAGCCGCTATGTGATTTCTACAGCAGTTGGCACGCCACTATGCCCTTTGAGCTTGTTGAGCCGGCTGCCGTCCTTCGTGTATTCCTCCCAATGCAAAATTTAAGAAGTACTACTACATGATTACGAACCCGTCTCAAATACTATTATGTCCGCTCTCTCATGAAAAGGGGAGGGGAAAAAATCATGTCTTTGAAGTCATGGATCAACTGGCCTTGTTCGCTTAAACTACTTGCACTTTTCAGCGAACGAACAATGTTTTTCTCTTACAACAAATCAATATAAGTATCAGTATAAGCTAAATTTCAGCGAAAAGTTAATTCATAGCATGACACTGATTTGCTACAAATATGTGGTCGCAAGCGAAAGCAAGTCGTAAGTCGTTGATACAGAGTCTCCGGTGCATAGGCGTCCCCGTCCCTTGCAAATTTTCCACACTAGCCGTGCACGCCGGCTCTTGACTCGCATCCAGTCAAGTCGTCTCTCAAGTTCAAAAAAAAAAAAGGTCGTCTCTCAGCCGTCGCCGGTCGGACCCGGGCAGCGAGCAGGCAACAGGAACAGGGGGGCAATAGCATATGTCCCTCTCACGAATCTGACCCGTCCATCCGGTCAAGAAACCCACCAGAGCCGTCGATCCGTTCCACACGGCATTCCAGTTCTATCATCCCCGCCGCGGCCCCGCCATTATTAAATAGCTCCGCTTCCACCCACCCCCACACAGACAAAAACAGAAGCCTCCGATCGAAAGCCGCCTCCGAGTTGGACGGCCATGGCGTCAGCGGCGAGCAGCAACCGGGCAGGTCTGTCCTCCTCCTCGTCTCCCTCGCCACGCTCCTCCTCGTCTTCGTCTCCGCCGTGGAGTGTTACGGCGGGCGGCATGCCGTGGCGCACTCGGCCGTGGCGCGTCGCTCCCGCCTGGGGACCCGGCACGTGCACCACCGCCGGACCACGGTGCCGCACCGATACATCCTCGCGGAGAAGGGCAGCCCGACCGGCGGCGGCCCCAAGAACCACAGCAGCTCCCCTGCGACGGCCAACAACGCCAGCGCGCCGGCGCCGGCGCCTCCGGCCGGCTCGCAGACCGATGGCCGGCACCACCGCAGGAGCCACAAGCACCGGGTGCGCAACTGGATCATCGGCTTCGTGGTGGGTTCCCTGGCGGGCGTCATCTCCGGGCTGGTGCTGTCGGTGCTGTTCCGGATGGCGCTCAACTGCATCCGCGGGCGGTACCGGTCGCGGTCGGGCGTGATGATCTTCACCCCGAAGCTGATCCGGCGGCCCGAGCACCTGGCGTTCCTGGAGAAGGAGGACGGGCTGGCGTCGCTGGCCGTGATCGGGCGCGGCGGGTGCGGGGAGGTGTACAAGGCGCAGCTCCCCGTGGAGCGGGAGGGCGAGGAGCCCCGGTTCATCGCCATCAAGAAGATCAAGAAGCACGGCGGCGACGCGCCGGCCAACAACAACCTGAGCGACGAGGAGAGCCGGCAGCTGGACAAGCGGTCGCGGCAGATCCAGTCGGAGATCCGCACGGTGGGCCACATCCGGCACCGCAACCTGCTGCCGCTAGCGGCGCACGTGCCGCGCCCGGACTGCCACTACCTGGTGTACGAGTACATGAAGAACGGCAGCCTGCACCACGCGCTGAAAGCCGGCACACACACAGAGGTTGACGGCGCCGAGGACGGCAACAGCAACACCGGAGGAGGCACCGGCACCGCTGCCGCCGGGGGGCTGTCGTGGCCCGCGCGTCTCCGCGTGGCGGTGGGCGTGGCGGCGGGGCTGGAGTACCTTCACCTCTCCCACCAGCCGCAGATCATCCACCGCGACCTGAAGCCCGCCAACATCCTGCTGGACGACGACCTGGAGCCCCGCATCGCGGACTTCGGCCTCGCCAAGGCGATGCCGGACTCTCACACGCACGTGACGGCGTCCAACGTGGCCGGCACGCTGGGGTACATCGCGCCGGAGTACTACCAGACGGTGAAGTTCACGGCCAAGTGCGACGTGTACAGCTTCGGGGTCATCCTGGCGGTGCTGGCCACGGGAAAGGAGCCGTCTGACAAGTTCTTCACGGAGACGGAGGAGGTGGTCGGCCTCGTCAAGTGGTTGCGCCGCGTCATGGAGAGCGGGGAGCACGCGCAGGCCATCGACCCGGCCATCGCCGGCGCCGGCCACGACGAGCAGATCCTGCTTCTGCTGCGCATCGCCTTGTTCTGCACCAAGGACGACCCCAAGGAGCGGCCCTCCGCCAAGGACGTCCGCTGCATGCTGTCGCAGATCAAGACCTAGACACAGCTGAATCAGAGATCAATCACTACATACAAACTTAGTTTCAAATAAATTCTCTCTGTGTCCCTGGATTCCGGATTATTATTGCTAGCTACTGTTATATTGTAGTACTATCATCAAGTCGTCGCGTCAGCTGTCACGTGGGACCGGTTGATTAGGACTGGATTATTATTGCTAGCTACTGTTATATTGTAGTACTATCATCAAGTCGTCGCGTCAGCTGTCACGTGGGACCGGTTGATTAGGACTGGGCAGTTTATGTAGCACCATGTTCGCTCGATCGTATTAGTCATGCTTATCAGTCATGATATAGTGTTTTTCTCTTACAATAAAACAGCATCAGTCGACTTATAAGCCATAGAACGTGGTGCTAGGGTATAATTATATCAGCAGGATAGTAGATCGGGAAGTCGTCGCACGCGCTGGACTAGGACCGGTATGATCCACGTGCTTTGGCATGGTTACGCTGAATACCAGTATGATCCACGTGCTCCTCTCTACAATATCTTTGCTTCAAAGATTCGAGCGATCTTCCGTAGAAGGATCCAAATCCAATAATGCTACTAGCTACTTGTAGGTACAGCTCCCTCCTCTGTGCTAAATAAATATTCCCCTCGTCTGCTCAATGAATCAATTTTTAGAGTTATCCTAAATCAAATTATAAACTTGACCTAATTTAAAAGAAAAGGAAACCAAGATTTATGACACCAATTAATATCGTTAGATACAATTGTATCTTATATTATCATAATTTGTTCATTGGTGTCATAAAACTGTTGTATTTTTCTATAAATTTGGTCAAACTTTAAAAAGATTGACTTAAGGCAACTTTAAAAATTCATTTATTTACTTTGTTATTACTTCTCAGTTCTCACTAAATATTTTTTTGCTTCGTGTTAAAAGCGGCTCTTGTGTTCTTATTCTTGTTTTCAGGTCTAATTGTGATTTTGTTCTCACTAATTTAACATTGTGATTTTGCTCATGCTTTTTCAAAACGAGGGCAAAGTTTACCCCTATTTCAATTAGAAGAGTTAAAATTGTAAGTTCAACTAAAAAGGACTAGTTTTCCCATGTGAATTTGTCCATATGTTTTTTATACTCTGGATCTTTAACATCTATTTTGACATCAAATATTCAGACAATATTTTTTAAAAAAATATAGAAAATTTTGCAGATATTTTAAATTTAAGCAAAGTTTAAACATGCTTAATCAACCATCAGCCAAATCCTTTGAAGCAAGAACAAGAACACCAATCTCCCATGATAAAACGTCATTTTTGGTTAGCACATAACCTCCAATCACATTCATTCGATGTTTCAAGCAGAGCTATTACAATGTGGTTTTCTCGATTTATACCATACAAAAATAATACCCCTATTTAGAGTAGGAAAATACTATGTGCTCACTGTAGTAAGAATCTGTAGCTCCTCTTTTCCCTTTCTTCTTTACCAAATTGTTTGTTGCTTTTACTTGGTTACTATTCACTAAATATTCTTTATTTTATCATAAAATGGTATCTTCACCTTGTAATTATGTAAATTTTATTTAGGTATTTGCAGGAAAACATATCTCACATTGTGGCCATCCCGTGAAAGCCTAGATGTTGTAGACAATGTTGCATTCAAGCCTCCTTTTGTTGTTGCAAGAACCCATGTAGACACTTCATCCAGTGTAGCAATTTAGAGTAATAACCACAACTGTCATATGAAAACATGTACATCTTTGTGTCACTGTCACGTACATCATCTTTGTATGTATATCTTTGCAAGAATCCATGTGGACACTTCAGCCAATGTAACAATTTATAGTCACCACAACTTTCGACGTACATCTTTGTTGCATGTGACTCAAATCCTACTTGACTAGGATTCGAGAGAGGTGTGCTAGACTTCTAATTCTATTAGGACTTGAGTGTAGAATCCTATTAGAAATAGGACTTCTATTTGTATGCATCGACCAAACCAACACTTAAGAGTGCTCAAGAGGATTATGCTAACCAATTCTATTGCACTATATTCTTGTATAAGACAACAATCGAGGGCCCTTGAGGGTCGAGTAGGGTTATGAGAGAGCGATAATCACTTCTACTCTTTTGGAGTTACGCATATAGAATTTGCAGTTGGCTTCACCAAAATCATAGTATCTTGTCGTGGTTGCTTCAACATCATCATTTAGGGTTTTCTATAAGATTCACCTATGACGTTCTTAATACGGAGCAAGCTGAATATCCTTTAAAGATTTGAGGACTGCTATGCTTAACTAGATGTATCATATTCTAACAATCTTTATGCTAGAGGAAAGAAAGAATTAGTAAAGAGGAGAAAAAAGTAAAGGGTCAGCCCACCGACAAGTGGATCCCATGTGTTGGGGCTAGATATTGGGGAGTTTGCATCTCCCCATTAATCCTACAGCTAAAAAAGCATCTCCCCCATCACCCCTTATTTGGGAGGAAAATATTAGGATACCATTGGAGATTCTCTTAACTAGAAAGGTGAGATTAAACCACCATGATCTCACATAAACATACCTGGCCACCATAGGTCTAATTCAAATTGTGCCAAAATGCCACATAAGTACATAACCCTTGAAATAAACTCTTCTTGTATTTTTCTAACATCAGCTATGATGTCCTATGTCACACCTTAAATCTGAACTTAAAACACAACCTGTACATGGAGGATTAAAAAAAGACAACTCAACCTATACATTGGGTCAATTGAAACCATTCAACTAAATCAAGCCAAACTTTGATCATGGTGCTAAGCGAACAAAGTGAATTGTTCAAAATGGTCCTCTTCTGATATACGACAACCAAAAAAAGGTGCAACAGCATATATGTTTCATTCCCTGGTGCAGCTTCAATGAGGGGAAAAAATGAGGGACCATCATACCTTCTGTCATCATTTGCAATACTTGAACGCTTACAAATTAAAATATTCTGCAGAAGCATGGTCACTTGTTGCTACCGTGCAGAAGTTGTGGGTGGCCAGGAATGGATCCTCTTCCAGTTCGGTCCCTGCAGGGATAGATGAATACCAGGCCCATCAGGTTTAGGTATTGACTGCGAACTCTCTCTTGTCTCAACTTTTGTTCCAATAGACGTTTCGGCATCCCGCTAGTCATGGCTGCTTTGGCTCTGCTCTGCTTGCAACAAAGGATGACTGCCATGTGTCTCCACATTCTGATGTGGTCTGTCTACCTTCACCAGCTTACGTCTTGTAAAATGTAAAATCTCCTCGAGGCTTTGGAGGCTGCTGATACCACATATCGTTAAGTCAGAATGGCAATCTTCAATGATTACCTTTTCTAGCTTAGGTGATGTACCTTCCTCAAATTTCACCTTTCTCAGTTCATTCAAAAGGCCAAGCTCAAGAATCCCAAGCTTTGGAAATGTCCTTTTTGTCGTACTAAGCCTCTTGCTTTCCTTCTCACTATATAGTGGTGATACAAAATGAGTTACTAATAGAATTACATAATGAGTAATGATAGTGGTGACACTACACATTCCCTCTACTAGCACTAGGCTCTATCATTGTCACAAATAATGATAGTGGTGATTATGTACCTTCCATCTTCTTAGCACTAGGCTGTCATTAACATGCACATTAACAGGCAAGCGTTCAAGTATTGCAAAGCATGCCTTCTAACGTCAGTAGAGCGTTTGGAAAGCTGAACTGATGATGAACTAATTTAGGTGACTCTTTTTTTTTGTGAACACTAATTTAGGTGACTCTGACTGTGTCCACATAGCACCTGTATAAGCCATATGAAACTGGCTATTCCTGGTCGTGGTAGAATTACCAAAAACCAAGCTTCCATAGACCCAAGCATTCTGCAAGGAAGACTGCAAACGTGTCATCATCTCACAAATTGCTTGACTTGAAGCAATTGAATAGCCTAGCATCAAATGAATGTAAAAGTAATTCAAAATCAATAGTCAACCTATACTGGAGCATAGAGATACCTCTTGTAGGACTTCTAATGCTTCATTCCCAATCCTAAGCTTATGTCACAGAGCATGAGCATTTGCTTATTTACATCCCCTAGAGAGAGAACGTAAATAAACTAGTAATGAGCATCACCAGTGAAGCCCCGCCCCTTCGGCCCCCGCGTCGCTCTCCCCCGAGGGCGACTCGGGCGGCGCTGTCGCCCCCGCCTTCGCGCCCCTCCCTCCATCCTCCCTGTCTCGGCCGCCGCCAGAGCTCGCCGCCGGGGCTCCGGTGGAGGGCAAGGACGGCGGTGGCCAGGAGTTTCCCTCCCTCTCCCTCTCCATCCCTCTCCCTCTCCCGGTGAAGACCTGCGCCGTCGTCACGCTTCTCATGGTGGTGGCCGGCGGCCCGGATCTGGCCTCTCAGTGGGTGGATCTAGTTCCCCACCGGCTAGATCGCTCGCGTGGCGGGGGGTGGTCTTTGGCAGCGTTTGGGTTGGCCCGTTGGGTTCGGCGTGATTCTTCAAGGGAACCTCGGCCGCGTGGCGATTTCTGGCGGGCGGGGCGGACCCTCCCTCCCCGCCAGATCTATCTCCCAGACTAGGATCTGTGGTCGCGTCTCTCCGGGGGGCTCCTCGGCTTTGCTTCTTGGGGGACTCTACCGGGCGGCACACACTGGTCGGGGTGGATGGAGCGCAAGCACTCTCCGCCTGGATCTGCTGGAGGAGGTGCTCTCCGGCCATCACCGACGTCGGGGGCGGCTGCCCGCCGTGGCACCCTTCAGATCTGGTGGGGCTGGGAACGGATGTAGTGGTGGCAGTCGGCCTTGGCCTCCTTGGTCAGGGCTGGCGTTCCTCTGCTGGATCCGGCGTGCTGATGACGGAAGTTCGTAATGGAAATTGCTTGGAGGCTCTGCGTGGCGAGTTTTGATTGGGACTACTTGTCGGGGGTTGGGACGATGGTGGGATGGGTGACTGGGGCTTCTTCTGATCCCGACCCTCTTCTCCCCGCCACCTGCCTTTCCCTTGCCCGGGCTGGTTCCTCAGGTCAGGCTACCTCTGTGGGACTTTGGCGGCGGCGGATATGGAAGAAGCATGAGGTCGGGGCGAAAGCTTGGACGACGACATCTGTGGATGCCGTGCCCTCTTTGGAGGCGTCCTTTACTACCTCTCTTCCTACCGCCTTGGATGTCGCAGGTGAAACCCTTCCCTCGTCGGGCTAGCTTGTCGACGCTCTTGGCGTCGTTTCCTTCTTGAAGGCTTTGCTAGGCGATCCAGATTCCGCTATGAACCTCTTGTCGCCAGTCATGGCGCTTCTCCTACAGTGACAATGCTCGGTGTTGGTCCACGGTGCTCCCTACGGTTCTCCAAGTTGTCTTTCTCTAGTTTAGTTGAGGTGTCTTAGTTGGGTGGGTGTTGTTAGTTTGAGTAGATGCAACCAAGCTACAAGTAGTGGCGTGAGTTATGACAGTTGTTCAAAAGTTATGCAGGATGAGTGCGGCACTCTTCTCAGTTGTATGGTTTTTCTGGCCTAGTTTCCATTCAAAAAACTGGGATGGCACTTGCCTTTTTTCTTTTTTCGTCTAATAAAAATCGCGGCAAAGCTTTTGTCCTTTCTAAAAACGAGCATCACCAGTAAGTACCGATGAACTGATGGCCAAAAGGCTCACGGGATATAAGATAGGAATTGCAAATAAAAACGTCTCAGTTGATAACCACACATAAGGCAAAGTTATTCCCGTGCAGAACTGACTTCTCTAATCCACAAGATGACAATCCGTTGGTGAGTAGGTGTGGGGAATCATTGATCAAAGCCACATCAATACTACACGATATCAACTTCATACTCAGGCAGGGTATCAGTGACTTCAGCACCTACATTGGATACTACCTTTGGACATTAGACATTTGTAATAGTGGATGATTTGGGTGTGCATCCACTTCTTCATGCAACATGTCAAACTTTGCCACATCATCATCATGTTGAAGTGCAATAATCTTAAGCCTTGGGAGATGCTTGACACCAACAATCCCCGATTCCAACCTGCAGCCATAGATTTCAATACTTCCCATGTGAGGCGAAGTGCCCTCCTCAAATTTTCTCTCTTACTTGCTTCAAGAAGTAAATATCAACTTCTTTGAGTTTTGGGAATGCCCCCCTTCTGAACACTAATTTTTCTCCAACATAAGCATTCCGATAAAGACGAAGGAGCATGAGATTGGGAAGTGCCCCAAGTATCTCCATTGTTTTATCTTCCTTTAGCTTGCTCCTGGATAAATGCATCTTCACCAGCTGCTTAAGGTTCCCGAACCAATTTGGCATATCTGCAAGAGATCCATTCAACTTTAAACTCCTTAGAAGGGGCGGAGGAGAGGAAATAAAGGCTAGCCACTCCAATGATTCAACATCTGAGGATCCCTCAGCATCCACATGGAGAGACTGGAGCGATGAAAGCTTTTCAATAGCTGCACAAAGTATCATGTATTTGTCCTTGGTGGCACCTTTCGATGTCACACTTAGTTTTCTTAGTTGACTGAGTTCTCCAACCTCTTTTATCACTTTCCTAGTAGTTCCTTTGATGTCCACAACCTCTAGTACCTGTAACTTTTTGAGGTGGTTGATTCCTCTTGGCATCCTTACACCTTTTGTATCAGACCAACAGGTAGAACAGGCCATCCGTACTTCGGCAATTAAGTTGGCACGGTCACTGAAATTAACTAGTGGTGTGAATATCATGGGAAAACACATCGTGATAGTCAGGCATCCCTTTGGGTTGTCCATCAAATTAAAGTAACCATAATCTAACCTTTTGCTGCAGCGGAGACTACGGAGATTTCGGAGTTCAGTCATATCAGTAGTTAGTGCTGAAATATTTGTTTCTCTCAAGTCCAAGGTTTGTAAGCATCGCAGTTTCCCTATGGATCTCAGAAGTGCAAAATTATAGGAAGTTCCTGAAATGTTCAGATACTTCATGTGGTGCAAAGCCCCAATGTTGTTGGCATCTTTTTCTGTGATTTTAAATCTTGCATCTTCCAAATCCAAGACTCTCAACATTCTCAGCTGTTGCGAACAAAATGAAGGTGCTGGCTCCATAGGCCTATCGCCAAATACAGATATTGAACGGACACTGCTCCAGTTCAAGCCTATTTCTGAGCACTTGTTCCCATGGAACGCTACATGGCGAATGTTCTCCTCTTCTACATTAGTGACATTATCCTTATTCAAGAGCACAAATTTTTCCTCTCTAGAAATTGAAACTATGATATCACGCACGATATCATGGATTGTGCATTTTTTAACAGCTCCTTCAACATTTATTGTTGATGGTTGAATCATACTTCGGTTGATTAGCTCATTGAAGTAACTATTTCCAACTTCCTCAATGTTCACCCCATCCCTCGCTTTAACAAGCCCCTCTGCTATCCACCAACCTACCAGGCGCCTCCTTCGAATTTCAAAATCCTCAGGGAAGATGCTTAGGTACAGAAAACATGGCTTAAGATGAGATGGCAAGTGGTCATAACTCAGGGTAACCATCCTCCTCATTGCTTCAAGGCTTGGATTGCTCTCAAGTTCTGAAGGGAGTTCTTCCAAAAACTTCCCCCACTGTGCTATCTTTTTAGTCGCAAGAATCCCTCCAACAGTGAGTATAGCCAGTGGTAAACAACCACATTTTTTTACCAGTTTTGTAACTATGTGCTTCATGTTCTCAACTGTTTCCAGGACTTGTTGTCTTTTGCTTGTCTTCCTTAGTAGCAAATCCACAGCATCATAAATTTGAAGGGGTTCAAGGTGGTAAATAAGTGGTTGAGATGTACAACTCTCAGCTAAGCCAGCATCTCGCGTTGTTACTAATATGCAGCTACCTCTGTTGTTATTCTTTGGAAAAGCAATATCATTAATCCAATTCCACGCTTCTATGCTCCATAGATCATCAAGGACAACAAAATACCGTTTCTCCTTTAAACCTTGTACCAAGCAATCAGAAAGATGCTGCACTTGAACCAGCAATTTCCCCTGGAGCTCTTTCAAGAGTTTGTCTAATGAATCAGCACCCAAAAGTTGCCTAATCATATCTTTTAGAATCTCCTTCCTGTCAAATGACTGGGATACAGTGACCCAAGCACAGCAAGAGAAGTATCTTGAAATATCCTCCTTACTTTCGTAGGTCTTCCTTGCCAGAGTAGTCTTGCCTAAACCACCCATACCAACAACACATATTACCTTAGTAGAACCATCATCAGGGCTGACATCTATCAGCTTAAGCAATTCCTTTTTAGGAGTGGCAAACCCCACAAGTTCTGATTCGTCTGTATTGTTAGCTGATTGGTTGCGAATGTCTTCCATGTAGGAATCCCTCTCATCTGTGCTGATAGAGGAAATGGGCTTTATTAGGCTGTAGCGTGTGTTCCTGTTGCTCACCTCTTCAACTCTTGATTTGAGGTTCCGAATCCGTATTGCAATCCGATGGCAATCACCAAGCTTCAGCAGTTGGCGCGACAGGCTTTGGCTCCTCACATGAACTTTAAACTCATCCAGACAATCTTCAATATCATAGGACAAATCTTGTACTTGCTCTGCCCATACCTTTAGTAACTCATCTTTCTTCTTCTCTACTTCAGCAGCTCTTAGGAATGCCTGAATTGTTTTCAATTCATCTTTGATGTACCTACCAAACATAGTTTCATCGAAAATTAGAGCGGCCTTTGCCCCATGATCAGTGGCATAAGAATTAGGTTTTCAATGCCTAAAAGTATCAAGGGAACGAATAGATTATGTAACAAAAAAAATGTTATAGGAGCAACATTTTATCTATCTATACAGATATATTATAACAACACTTAATTTTTGACATTGGAGTACAAAACTTTGTATATGGTCAACGATTTTTATTCTCAATGGAACTAGTGTCCATCATTTACAATAGTGAAATGAGGCTGAGCAGCTCAACTAACAAGTAGCATCAGTAATGGGCACATATTCCCTTCCCCTACAGTAGTTACTACATCAGCATGTTTTAGTGAAATTCAACTGCTACTTTCCATGAATGAACACAATTAGTTTGGACCCTAGCTCTCAACTCTTCCCTTTCCTAAGTCTGCGCACGGCCACGCATGAATATCATTTCTACCAATGCCTACTGCCTACAGATGAAGTACCAAATCTAAATTTTGAAGCAATAAGAAATACACTTTATTAGTCTATTAGTTGGGTTGTCCAAAGGATTGGTGCTTGTTTTCCGAGGGGCCCTCACCTTCTTTAAATTTATCCGACATAACATAACTACATAAGAAAACATGAGTTAATCCCATAGAAACTGGCCCAGTGAATGAATATTAAGTGTTCTGCAGTTTCCTGGTAAACTGTGTCAAGCATACGAGGTTGTCAGTTGGTCTCTCAAGTCAGCAATATCCGTGAAACAGCTGTGATAGCTGTGCATCACACGGAAATTGCACAACCAAACACCTTGGCCATGAATCCGATGATAATCAAATAAAGCAATGATACCTCCTAGGCAAATAGAATCTATGAGGTTGTGGGAATGCTAAGCAGGAGATGGACTGTTGGCTGTTTTGTTCTACTCAAGATGAAGGATCATGGGATAGAACGATCTTCAGAGAGCTAAGGTTACGAGTGGTTCTATGGCAGTATCACCAAGGCATGCACGTATTTTAACTACTTCTACGATAGATGGATAGCATTCCATCAGCAACCTAGTTGTCCCAGACATGATGCAATACTTCCTCATTCATAAACAGGTGTTGTCTTATGTTTTAAAGAGCTTGCAAATTTGGGATCGACTGCAAACATATGTAAAAGGGCCAATACAGATTTTATGAGAACACATTCAGCACATGTATTGCTATATAGTAAAGATACTATGATTGGTACAGGTAACTAGGATAAGCAAAAGATTTGGTTGAAGAAGATTTTGGCGTGACCACAAATCGTTAACACTGAGAGCATGGTGGACACGACCATGGAAACGTATACATTGGGAACGAGTCATCCACAATGAATGCAGAGCTAGAAATATGGTGATGCGAATACAATCATATACATACATAAGATGGGAAGCTCCCTAGCTCGGACCTAGGTACTTGGAGTTGGAGGGGCAAATGTCCTACGTATATAAGCTCGTGCATACTAGTCGAAGAACTAGTACTAATAGCGCACAATTTCGAGAGGGGAAAACTGTGCGGTTCAACTGATCCCACATTAACAAGTTTGGCCCTGACGCGCAGATTAAAGCCGTGCTAAAGAGTCGTCGCCAACTCGCCCCGAAGACTCGACGAGTCAATTCGCAATTGTTATCTTGATTGCAGTTTGTAATTCGTCCATAATTTCAGGCGTTGGCTCCGCGATTGTAGTCCAATAAATAGTGTTCTGCTAACTCCTACACCGAACCACGGTGCGGCAAGCACGAGGAAGAGGAAGGAACCGCACTACCGCAGTCCGCAGTGACCGCCAGGGAAGGGATGGGTTACACTGTGCAGCAGCCAGCAGGACTGCAGGAGAAGCGAGATGGCGGGGCGCACGTACCAGATCTCCTTCTGGACGCCGAGAAGGAGGCTCGCCTCGTCGGCGGCGGCGGAGGAGGCCTTGCTGATGGCGCTGCCCAGCAGCACCCGCGCCGTACTCACCACCGTCTCAGCCATCAGTCGGTCGATGCAGGCACTCGCGACCGGAGCGGTCAAAGCTCCAAAGCACCAGCGCCGGCCGCAGAGAACGCTGAATGGACTAGATAGAGAGCGCGTGCACTGCAGCGAGAAAAATCTTGCGGCCGATCTTGCTTGCTTTTATTTTTTCGAAAGGCGAGAAATTTGTTGTTTGGTTTTCTTTTTTCTTTATTACTATTTTTTATTTACTTTGCAAAACACGATGCCACTGGGACACTTGGGTCAAAGCCAGTGCTATTCACCGGTGCCAAGTTTGTAATTTTTTCCATTTTTTTCTATTTGATTGAGAAACGGTGCTTCCTTCTCCGATCCCCGGCGCTAGCGTCGGCGAGTGAGCGAGCGAGCACCCGAGCGCATCGGGCTTGCGGGCGAGTGCCCCAGCAGTGGGTTCGCACCTCCTGGATGTCGCCTGCGCCGCCCCAGACGTCGTCGGCGCCGCGCAGCCGCTTTCCATGCCGCGCGCATCCCTTGTGCAACCCGATCTACTTTTGAAACATTCAGACACAACAGTTGCAACATGCAAAGAAGATAACATTTGAAACATACATCTGAAACACATGAAAAATATTTGAAACCATCGCAAACGTATGCAACATCCAGATAAAACACTTGCAAAACATCTTAAAAACCACTTCCAAAATACGCTTGTGACATGCATGTATATGCAACCACCAGTTCTACTATTGCAACATCCAGATGAAAATACTTGCAACATACATATGATACAGATGAAACATTTGGAACATACACTTGAAACATACGTGTATAGCCATTGCAACATTTGCAACATCCCGATCTACTTTTGCAACACCGATACGAAAACATTGGAACATACCTCTGAAATATCTGAAACACCTGAAACATATGTTTGCAACAAGCACTTTCAGTGCAACATCTCCTTGCTGTTTGGGAATGGAAGCTTGTCAGTGTGCGGAGTTCACCGGTGTAGAGTTTACCGGTAGCACGGAGCTCGCCATTCCGGTGGAGAAGTACGCGATAGATCCAGTGGAGAAGGCCACGACGGGTTGCTCCGGTGGAGAAGACGGGCCGCGGTGGGCGGCCACGATGAGCAGAAGGCGCCACGGAGTGGGAGAAAGACGGGCAGCTGCGCTGAGGTGCGGTGGAGATGCCGACCGGCGCCCGGCGCCTGAATGGCGTGAAGAACGCCGAGGTGGCGTGGCAGAACGCTGTCGTGGCGCTGTGGTGGAGTCTTCTGGAGAGGACTGAGTGGATATATGTGGTGGAGAGAGGCTCCTGGAGAGAATGAGTGGAAAAAGTGAATATGATGTTAGGCTGAATGTAAGCATTTTTATTTTTTTATTTGTACGGAGCCGTCCGATTCTAGCTGTACCATTTCCCCTTTTTACAGAAAAGTTGGAGATTTCCGTTTTTACAGAAAAGTTGGAGAGAGAGCGAGCAAGAAAGTGAGGAACACTGGCCGAGGGGAGCAAGGCCCATCAATGTTGAGGGCCCAACGTGACCTTTATAAGGGCCTTCATTAGTTGGAGTATTTTGATTTGAAAAAAGTTCATCCGACCTTAAACTATTGTGTGAATCTATTTTATCTACCCCAATTGAAAAATCGGACTTTTAGATCCCTCAACTCTTGAAACCCTCGAATTACCACCCCGAGCGATTGAAATCGCGGTTTTGGCTCTTGAAACCCTCAACTCTTATAATCCTATGTCCACGAAAGAATACAATTCTCGTTTTTCGAGGAGTCCAACCGTTTAAACTTTGACTAAAACTATATAAAAAGTACTAACTTTCGTGATACAAAATAAATACCATTAGATTAGTTATAGAATATATTTTCATAATAAATTTATTTGAGACATAAATGCTAATATTATTTCCTATAAATTTGGTCAAACTTGAGCTAGTTTGACCGACACAGATCCTATAATTACATTCTTTTATGGCCGGAGAGAGTATCTCTCGGTCCATAGAGGTGTTGTCTACGACTAGAAGAATAATTCTTCAGACATTTCTTTCTTTCGTCACATAATCAAAAGTTCATCTCTATGAGCCCTCACCGTGAAAAAAAAATCCAGAAAAGACTGAATGTGTCTAGTGGTCTACCAAAGCATCGCTATCGTTTCTACAAATCAACTGCATATCCTAGGTAAAGTTAGGGCTCATTTGGTAGAGATCCAGACTCTCTGTAGAAATGTTTCGGGTGGTGAATCAAAATTACTAGACCATTTGGCTGCAGAATTAGAGTCTCTGTGAAATCACGTTTTCAGCTATTCACATTCGTAGGCACAAAAGTGAGAATCACTTAGAACCGTTTCTGCTGATTCTTAAAAGAATCGGAATCGATTCTATGTGCAAGATGCACCCTTAGTCTCCATATCAGTAGATGTGTTCCATTCGCATCACTTGAGTGCGGCAGTTTAATTATATTTATAGCAATATATTAGCAAAATGAGTACTAATATAAACACGTGTTTGGTACAACTTTGTTTCAGTGGAACAGCTCCACTAAACTGTTTTAGAAAAACATTAAGTAAAATAGCTTCTTCAGTAGATGAAACCAGTAGGATGTCTATAATACCTTCCTCTTTTCCCCTCTTTTTCTTCCTTCATTTTCTTTCCTCACTTATTTTATTTTTTCCCCTCTTTCTATATCTGCCTTCTTCTCCCTATTTTACTCCCTCCGTCTCAAAATATTTATCGTTTTCGATTTGCGAGAAACAAATTTAACAAAATATGTATTAAAAAATATTAATATTTATGGTACATAGGTCCCGTTCGCTGGTCTGAAACTTGGTTAAAACTGCCTGGTTGTTGTGAGAGAGAAACACTGTAGCGGCCGAAACTGGCTGATTGTTGTGAGGAGGAGCAGCCGGCTGGTCTGGTAAAACCAGACCAGCGAACGCAGCCATAATTAGTATTATTGAAAGATCTCTTAATCTAGTTTTTTTTTAATAAATTTATTTAGAGATATAAATGTTGCACATATTTTCTATAACATAAGTTAAACTTGCGGTACGGAAACCAAAAGCTACAGATAATTTGTGATAATCTGAGACAGGGGTATATCTCAGTCCGGCAATCCACACCATACGCATGCCTCCACCATTCCTCGCAGTCTCTTTTCCCATTGCCTCACTCGGTGTGCCCGTGCACGTGCACAAAGGACGTCGACGCCCGCGCTTCGACGGCGCCTCATCATCACAACCAATGCCAGTGCTCCAACCGTGCCTCGCCGTCGTGGCCCCGTGCCCCCGCCTCGATGCCTCGACGGCACAACTCCACCCTGGCGCCACTTTGCCTCAAGCTCCGCCTCCACTCCGCCCCGCCCCCAACCCCAATGGCGACGCTGTGACCTGCCGACGCTTTGTCTCGCCCGCCGTCTATGCTCCGACCAGCACTAGCACGGGGGAGGGCCATTTTCACCACGACCCACAAGCACGAAGGATGGAGCCTGCCGCTCTAGAGTCCGGAAAATCTGAGGTTTCACGCTCGGGGCAGCATCTCCCTGACCTGTTGGGACGCCTCCGCCGGGAACAGCTTCAAGAGCTGTCGGAGAATCGGTACCAAACAGTCAAGAGGATTGATGGATCGGAGAACCTTAGGGGCACAAGTTCGGACCCGTACTAGTACACCAACAAAAAATAGAGAGACAGGACTAGAATTACAACCAGAAGAAGTCCACTTTTCAAATGTATGACGACAACTCTCACACCATACATTCACGCACGCCAGAGTTTTACGAGATACCCATCCTGGAGCCCGGAGAGGCATGGGTACCTCTACATTGTCTTATGGATAGTATGTATAGAAAATTAAAGGGACAGTATTTCCAAAGCGCATGCAGTTGTCTCCCTCAGGATTGCGTAGGGCTGGCTGTCACACAACAAAACCATTTCTTCTGCAAACACGAGAATATACAGTCAATGATAGTGGAAAGATCACAGGTTTAAGAGACGAAATTGGTGTTAGTGTCGTCAACTCGTCATCAGGTGGAGTTCAAAGAAGAAAACTGATACAAGCCATGAAAAAACGTACCGTGCTTGGTTTTGCAGCATAGGATTCCACCCTCTCAGTCCTGGTGTCCTTGGAAGGTGAATCAGTGTCTTGTCCATTCCCACCCTTCTTCTCATCTCTGGCTTTGTTGAATATGACAGTAAATCCATCTGCAGAAGCTGGATCATTGACATCCCATTCACCAAATTTTGGCAAGGGGCGGCCTGATTCCTCCTGGTAAAAGCACCATTATCCATGTTAAAAAGTAAATCTACTTGTTATTTTGTACACTGAGTAGCATAATACTGAAGCACTAGATGAAGTCATAAACTTGTGTCCAAGCAATTGCTATTATTACAAATTAGAAAACCAAGCTTGTGTCAGCATGCAAAATACATGTTGAGACCATTGAGTGACTGTGTGATCAAATATAGTAAAACATAGGCTTCTGCAAGCAGATAAATGCAGTCATGGTACAGAAAAAAAAAACAGAAATATAAATCAAATGTCATTCAAGAAGTTGGTGATGTGTTCCACTAAATATGCAGGTGTCCTAATGCGGGGCAAATGCAGCTGTTAAAGACTGTATTCCATCACGTGCAGGCGTCTTGAACTCTTGATGCAGAGAATGATGATACAAACAAAACAGAATATTCAGAAAACAGGAGGATATACTTGCAGTAATCGTGAATTACTTAGCATGCCAGCATGGGACAATATTAGCGGCTCAAAATTCATCAGCACCAAAGACATATGTGTAACATAGTTATTGACCTGTGAGTTGTGACCTCTTGACAACTGAGTTAAATCAGAGCATATATTCCTTATCAAAAAAATAAAAAAATCAGAACGTAAATATTCTAGAGATCAAACTAGCATCAAGAAAAGAGTTGGCATGCCAAGTTGTCAACAGTTCCAAAAAAATCATGTGGTCACAATGTACTGCTGAACAGCTTTCATGGGAAGATTCAGCTGCCATGCTGATATTTCCAGGCATGATTCAATCGACAGCCCCTTAAAACAGGAATTAGGTACACCCTTTATATGAAGGATAGGCTGCAGAATCATTATTTTTAACTGTAACAGATAAATTGGTCGGTGAACTACAATACAAAAATGGGAAGTGATCTATCAGTATATTCCTAAAAGGAAAACCCACCATTCCATTATGAAACCAACAATCAAGTTCCACAAGGTTCTAAGAAGTAATCACCAAGCATGCTATTCAGATAAACACCAAGTCTCCAATGTAAGCTTTAGTAACTAAAGTAGTTTTCTAAGTGTACTAGTAAGGCAACAGGCCTCTTGTGTGACCACTAGCCTCCATATGTGCAAAATTCTGCATGTAGGGATAGAAATCTCCGCATATTCATGAGTGACAGAAGTTCCCTCCAAAGTCATCTATCCCCATCTCCATCCATCTGGCTTCCATCCAAACTTGGCATAGCTTTAACACAATATATAATAATCTAATGCTGGATCAATAAAACTCCAGCTGATGGCACTAGCTGCCAGCAGCCCACGAGTAGCAGACAAAAGAATTGAATGAATCCGCTTAGGCTAACCGCGTGTTTAGTTCCAGGAAGTTGGAATTTGGGGCTACTGTAGCACGTTCGTTTTTATTTGGCAATTAGTGTTCAAACATGGACTAATTAGGCTCAAAACATTCGTCTCGCAATTTCTCACCAAACTGTGCAATTAGTTTTTTTTTCCGTCTACATTTAATGCTCCATGCACCAGATGTGACAGGTACTCTAGCATTTTTTGGGATTTTGGTGTGGAACTGAACACGCGCAGTTTTCCGTTTCAGCATCTACACGGCAACAGTTAAAGGCTGGGCTGCTAATTAACTGTGCTGTAGTTGCTTGCAGTGAACCTTGCATCCTGTCTGTTGTATCGATCTCGCTCATTGAATGCAAAGCAAAGCAAAGCAGTGGACTACGCTGACAATCACAGGCCTCGAAACGAAAACGCCAACCTACCCGGCCCGGCGAAAAGAAACTCCTCCGCGCTACACATAATAGTTCTCCCGAGACTTGGAGGATACATCAACCAATCAATCAATCAATTCCATTTTGTGAGCCCAGCTGAAGCACAGGAGAAAGAATCATCGCACTAGTTTCCTAGCCCTATCGCATCACGCGCGCGCAAACAACCCCCCTCCCAATCCACTCAGGCAGTCCACGCGACTTTGACGCCAAGCAACAGGAGAAACGAATCCCCGCTCGAAACTAGTCGTCCCGAAGTTCAGTCACAAGGCGAGCTCGCCTCGATCAGAACAAACACCGATTCCACAAGCTAACACCACCGGGGTGGGGTGGGGAAATAATAAGAGCGAAAAAAAAACGGCAGAGAGGCAGCGCAGAGGCTTGCACGTACCGCCATGGATGGATTCCGCGGAGCAGAGGTACCGATCCGCTGGAGGGCTGGGGGGCTGGGGCAGCGGCGGCGGCTGCTGCGCTGGGGAAAGCTTCTTCCCCTTTCTCTCTCTCTCTCTCTGCTGCGGTTGCGGGTGGGAGGAGACGACGAAGAGGAAAGTCAGGAGGCACAGCGGGGATAAGAGCGGACGGAGAGGAGACGAATCGATGTCGAACGGCAAAAGAAAAGGAAAGCAGGCGATGGACTGGGGAGGGGGAGTGAATAAAAAATCTCACTTCCCCCCTCTTCCGTAAATAAAAATAAAAAAGAGTAAAAAATAACGGAAAGCGCTTAAAAAATAAGGCTATCTTCAACCAGACCCAAAATATAAGATTTATTTGTCTTTGGTAGTGTTACAGGTAAAATATTCAATACACGTTCGATATCTTCTCCAATAAAAGACCCAAAAGAGAATTCTTTCTGCAAATAGATTTCTAGGAGAAATGATATCTATATTTGGGTTGTGTCTCTCAGACAACCCAAAATAAATCTTCCATATAGATATTTTGTTGAAAGCTAATTTTAGATCTCCAGTTATCTATTTTAAGTTTAGATGCCTAAGTTCCTTGAGACAGTCTAACGAGGGCCTCGTTTAGTTGCTCAGAATCGACAGTGGCAAAATCACTGTGCGGCACTGTAGTGCCCTATAGTATTTCGTTTGTATTTGGTAATAATTGTCCAATCGTTGACTAATTAGGCTCAAAACGTTTGTCTCGCAAAGTATAACCAAACTGTATAATTAATTTTTGATTTTGTCGATATTTAGTACTCCATATATGTACCATAAGTTTGATGTAACGAAATTTTTTTTTATATAGTACTAAAGTTTGGATTTAGGGTAACTAAACACACCCGAGGGTGGGAGAGAGGGTGGAAATGCGAGGGGAGAGAGGGAGGGCCGCACCGCACGTCGGTGGTGAGTGGTGACTGGTGCAGCCAGCGCTTCGCTGGCGCTCGGAATCTCTAGGCTGTGGCGTGGAGGGCCCGCCCAGCCGTTGTTTACTTCCTACACTTGGCCTCTTTCTTGGTTTCTCGGGGGGAAGAAACAAATTCTACACGTACTCCTATATTACTATTCAAAAGATTTGTTCGGCTTTGTTTAGATTGCCTCAAAGTTCTAAGTTTTTTTATTTTCTTTATCACATCAATTTTTGGACGTATGTATGGAACATTAAATATAGATAAAAAAAGTAATTAATTGCACAGTTTGTTGTAAATGACGAGACGAATCTTTTGAGTCTAGTTAGTCCATGATCGGACAAAGTTTATCAAATACAAACGAAACGTGTTATAGTGTTCAGATTGCAAAAATTTGCAATCGCCTTGGGCTGAAATTCCTCCCGTTTTTAGCCGTTGGCTGGCACTGGATCCGAGCTGGCGCAGCTGTGAGCTGGCCCGCCGCCCTCCTGATACCCGTGCGGCTGGGGGCGATGATGGGTCGAATGTCAACTGCGTAGGATGCCTGTTCGTGAGGGCGAGGGTAGTGTTACACTATTATCACGAAATATGATAGTATGACAGCTCGGCATGTCATCGTGCCTAAGCCTAATACAGCGTCGTCTGAAACCTTACAGACAGAGCTCCGCCGCGATTAAGGAAAAAAGGGGCCAGGAAGCAAGATAATGCATCCACCGGCGTGCGTTCAGACTTGAGCTGAGGCTGTCCCCTTCACACCACCCCCACCCCCACCCCCACCGCCAAGTCAATGTGGCGCGGTGGTGTGGTGCGGTGCGGAGACTAAATAAGCGAGCTGCGTACCACGCACGAGTATAATTGCAAATTTGCCTGCCCCCCTGCTAACTGTCTGAGACGCTCACAGCGGAACTCTTGTATTATAAACTCTTTCTTCTAATACAATGATATGCACACTCGTGCGTATTCGATAGAAAAAAAAACTGTCTGAGACGCTGACTGCTCTTGGTTCTCCGCCTGTCGCGAGCAGCAGCAACGGCCACGTCAACCGAAACAAACTCAAACGTGGCCGACACATACGGACTGCACTCTCCTACTGTGCAAGTGCACGGCCAACCACGAGAGGCCGCAGTTCCAAGTTGGAACGTTGAACTGGTACATGGTGCTTAGCTGGATGCAACTAGCACACTGCCTGCTCTATCTGCTTTTGTCGTGCTCGTAGCATCCGCAGATCGCACCCGGCACCCCCAAGGCGCCTCGCCCACGTGCCGCGCCGAAGCCAGCGTGGAACGGCCACGGCTCACGAGCTCCACGTCAGCAACCAACCTTCTTGGGTCTCGACAGACCGTGATTCTGTGCCGCCAGCAAATTTGATCCAGTGCGAGCGTCCACCAAAACCCCAAATGCGGACCAAAACGCACAACTGACGGCCACCAATGCCACCGAATCGCTCGTTTACCAGAGCAGTGAGCAGTCCAGTGTCCATGTCCACTAAAAGTAAAACTGTCCAAGCCGCCTCTGATAACCATATGAAGTATATGGAGTCAGGGTATACAGTATTTGATTGTTTTTTTAAAAGGTAACAGTATATATATTTGATCGGAGTATCTATACTCACGCACAGAGGTGTAGGTGGCGTAGCATCCGCCGTCCCGAATTTTTTAGGTTTTTTTTGCCATTTTTCTGAAAGATTTTCGCAAATCTATTTCTGAAGGTATGCTTTTAAAATCTAGACCCTTAACTCGGCATCGTTGTAACTGGCGCCGAGATTACACATCTCGACACCAAAACCTTTGACGCCAAGGTCCTTGGCTGACGTAGGTGTCGACGCAGACGTGGCGTTGACATGGCAACCACCATGACGCCATAATTTTTGGCGCCGAGCATGGCGCCAAGGTCTATGGCGCCGTGGTAGTGTTTTAAACCAGCTCCCACCCTTCCTGCCCGAGGCTTCTTTCTTTTCTTCCTCCTCTCTCGGTTTTTTTTTTCTCTCCCCACTTCGCCTTACCTCACGAATCGATATATTGGACCGTGGTAAGTTGGATTTGATCCGTAGATCTTTGAGAGCAAGGTATCCTCTCCCCCTTTCTAGTTTTTTTTCGCATCGATTCATTATATATTAGTCAGTATTTTTCAACCTAAGAATCGTTATTACTTAGGGTCTAATGTACTTTTTAATATTTATATGTATTATACAACCGTAAATGCTAAGGCGTGGAAAAGCTAGTAAATCAAGATAACCTCAACGCCTCTTACGATATTATGCGTTCATTGTTGTGCATCAAATGAGAAACTCTAGGTTTAGGGTTTAATGTTCTTGCTTTCGGTTCTTAGAACAAAATTTGTTGAATTGTAGTAATGGTCGGATGACCAGAAATGCCTTCAACCCATTGCCTCTGCCTAGTGGTGTTCCAGTGTCCATGTGCTGGTGCGGTGATCCTTGCAAGGTAGCCAAGTCCGATGAAGATGACACATATAGGCAGATGTACTGGATGCGTGCCAATTTTACGTTTGAGCCTACACTTCGTCAGCGCTGCATTAAGAAGATGGTGAGAAATTGATGTTGTGTAATAATTATTTGGTGTCAACTGAAGCCTTGCACGATTTATTTGTTTTGTAACAATTGCATTTGTTGCAGACTCCTCCACCGCTATGTGATTTTGAGCAGTAGATCGATACTGAGATCAAGCCAGAAGACAAGGAGTGGATGCCGAAACTGTTGCGGTGGGAGGTAGAGGATAAGAAGATGATGGAGAAGAGACACAGAGAGGAGGCTGCAGAAAAGGAGCACGAGGAAGAGGAGGAAAGGAGATGTGTTGCTGCGTACAGGGAGGAGAGGGAGAAGAAGCTTAAGCGTGCACGTCGAGCGAAGGCAGCGATGGAGGAGAATCCCGATGCCCTGAGGAGGGAAAGTGGTCTCATTACACTCAGTAGTCTGCATGACTTGCTAGTTCTATGGTTTATTTTACAACGTTGTCTAGTCTTGGACTTTGCATTGTGTTGTCATGTAATGTACTTTAAGTATGGACGTACTTAGGGCATGTTCTGCGTTATTTAGTTCATTGGCATGTACTTCTATTGTTATTTTGTTGTTTAATGTGTCTTAGTATTGGACTTTTCATAGTGTTGTTGGTTTCATTATTTGTGGTCATAATATTCAGTTTAATATTGCGGAGGTAGTGAAACGAGTTCACGTAGTGCAAATAAAACGTAACGAAGTAGTGCATTATATAATTCAACACAAACAACACATGAAATAGCATGTGAGAACGTGTACCAAACTAGGGTACAGAGGTCCTAAACTAAACCTAACATGCCTTAGATAATTGAAACGAACAACAAGCACACGAAATGGCATATGAAAACATATACCAAACAAGGGTACATAGGTCCTTCAACTAAATCTAACATGCCTTAGGTAATTGAAGCAAACAACAAACACATGGATGTCGCATGTGAATAAGATAGGTTCGTCCTAGTAGTGTGGCCACATAGCAAATTGTGTTGCACTTTCTCCACAGTAGCCTCCTATTGTTGTTGGTGGTAGTAGCGGAGGTGGCAGGCGGAGGCCTCTTGTTCTTGTGATTAGGGCAGGTACAATATGGATCATTGCAGAGTGCCTCCTATGAACCTACACCATTGTTGTGTCGTCGTCTTCGTCTTCCTTGTAACCGCTACTAACTTCTCTTTCTAGATCGAAGATATAGTAGTAGATGTATTGTTGATGCGATAAATTAGTCTTGGATCGACCCACCTAGTGAACCCACATATTTCTCTAGACTCGGAAGACTGCAATAAGTATGTCTTGTAAGTTGTAGTGCAATCGAGAAATATATTTAACAAATGAATAGTAATAGCAATTACCCATGCTCGTGGGCATTTGAAGAAGTGATGACCTCCATCCATCCCCTCGATGAACATCTGCACTAAGCAGTCCTCACCATGCATACATTTTGTCCAATCTACTTTCTAGTTATCGTATCCTCTGAGGGGACACTCTTTGGTGAAATAACTCTTGCTCTCGGGGGAAATGATACACTGCTTCCTCAAAGAAA